AACTTCGTCTTTAGTTTTCATTTGATAGAGCCATGTCATTCGAGTGCAATCGTCCACAAAAAATACAAGCCAACGAAAACCAGATGGGTTTGTTATCAGGGATGGTCCCCACACATCCGAATGCATTAAGAAAAAAAGAGTATCATTTTTATTCAAGCTAGCCGGATAAGAAACTCGTTAGCTTTTAGCCCTGATACATGTATCACATTTAAACTCAACATTCTGCAAATCATGAAATAACAACGGAAGTAGATGTAAATGATGGATGCCTCAAGCGTCTATGCCATAGCCAAATTTTTCGTTCATGACTGTTGATTTGGTTATGTGTTGATTTGCTTTTGCCCAGGGTGCAGTCATCCAATTAGTACAACCCCCCTCTCTTAGTACCACACCCAATAATCTCCTTGCTAAGAATATCCCGAAGAAGACAAAAGTCGAGTATATTAGCACAACACAGTTAAGTTATTACGTAACTTGACTTACAAACATTAGTTTATTAGAGAGGGATGGAACAAGAAGCGTGTGGGATAAAGCAAGTGAGGGAGACAAGGGTACATCTCTAGCTCAATGAGACTTCTCCGTTGACGACTAATAGTCAAAAAATCATTTGGACCAAATGGAATATGGTCCGTTGCTCCGGAGTCAATAATCCATGCATCATCATTCTGACGAGTAAAGAAGAAAAACAATTTACCATGATTATCTTTATCGAAACTTTGGGTAGAGACGTCTGTGGCTGCGGGAGTACGAGAGAGTTGAGAGTCAGCTAATGTCACCGCTGCTCGACCTGGGGTTTCTTCTGTCGATGGGGCATCTCGTTTCTTGCGAGCTTGTAATTCATGCCACCGATCTGGGTAACTTATGTGATCATAACTAGCTCCAACACGAAGAATTGGAGAAAAAGAAAGCGTGCGAATTTAATGAAGTTGTTCGTGTTCATAATGGTAAGAATCAACACAAGGGATTTGATTGAAGAGTCCATGGTTCGGAATTGGATGAAAAGAAAGAGAAGAGTTCGTTGGACAAGTCGAATTCCATGCATCCGAGATTCTCGTCTATCTCTGGTAGTTTTACCATTCGAGCTATAACTCTCTCATCCAAAGTCCGTTTAGGTTGATTCAAAATGATTCGGAAAGCTATCGGAAAGATCTACAACTTTTATGTTTCAATCAAAGAGAGATTCGACGTGTAAAAGTGAATAAATGTAGCTTGAAGTGCTTGGACGTGCACAACCAAAAATGTCTACGCGAGTTTAGAAGGCTGATCGAGAAGTCGACTTGATGTTCAAGTTATTAAATTTAATTATGCATGCTTTTTTTATTCTAGGGTTTATTATGTTTTTATTATTTTAGAGTTCTTTTATAGTAAGGATTTTTCTTATTTATTAGTTTCCTTATTATAGTTTAGGTAAGAGTCATTTTTCTTATGAAAAATGAGTCATTTAGATCTTATAAATAGGCTGCCAATTTGGCTTATTTTAGGGGACGCATTTTGATGATTAAATTGAGTTTATTCTCTTTGGTTCTTTAAGAACTTTTCGAACAGATCGGTGGATTCCGTTCGTTCACCCTGACTTATCAATCGATCTTTCGCAATCGATTGTGGCGTCTTCACGTACCAAGGTTCTTGCCTCCTTATAGGCAACGGGTCGCGGTTCCACCCCATTGAATCCTTCTCTGGACGGTCCAGGATTTGAAATCCGAATTATTGATATCGGGTATCGTCACATGGTTGGCGTGGTTTATATCATTGGGTATTAGAGCCATTTTCCTAAGAAGGTTTCGCCTATCCCTTATCTTTATTGTTGAGTTAATTTTTTTTCGTGTTTTCGTTTTGTTTTTTCGTTTCGTGCCTATTTTTGTTGAGTCGTCTAGTCTTTGGTTTTGGTTATTTAGAGACCATAAACAAAAAAAAGTAAAAAAAAATTCAAAATTTATGTTTGATTGAATAGATCAAACATTCTGGAATAGATCTATTCAATTAAGTTGGAGTTTGAGAGGATTTGGGCAGTACAATTAAGTTGGGAAGAATAGATCTTGTTTTTCATTCTTTGAGAACTTTGAATATCTTATTTCCTATTCATTGGGATCCTGGAATATCTTGTTTTCTTATCTAATATTTTGTTCGTTTGGGCTCATATTTCGTGAGGGATACACCTAGGGGAGTGTGTGAGGATCTTCTTTTGTAGCATTATTATGTCACAAGATGAAACTTTTCATCAAATTTATGCACACAACTTCGTCAAATGGTGAAGAAGGAGTTTGAGGAATTGCACTACAGGTTAGATACACTTGAGCGAATTAGTGGAAAACAAAAGCAAACACCAGCCCCTAAGCCAAGAGGAGAACCATTTGAGAATCCCAATAAAGGTGCGTTTCTGAAAAAGGAAAGAAAAAGTGATGCTTGGGAAACATGTTTATTCAATTGTATATCGATATTGAATGAAGGACTCAATCTTACACCAAAGAGCTGTGAACAAGCAACAATGTTTTTTAATGTAACAAAAGATCTATGTGATGCGGCTGAAGTGGAGCTTGAGGTAGTCGACAACACCACATGTGTATTGAATAACTCCAAGCCTTGTACACCGATTTACCAAACTCGTGATATCCTTCGTGAAGAGAACGCGATAATTTTACTACCAATCCAAAGGATTGATCATCAAACAAATTTCATCACTACTCCATTTAATATTGGGCAGGATTCGAGGACGAATCCTTTTGAAGAGAGGAAGTATGATGTGATTCTAACTAACTCCAACACGAAGAATTGGAAGAAGAGAAAGCGTGCAAATTTAATGTAGTTGTTTGTGTTCATAATGGTAAGAATCAACACAAGGGATTTGATTGAAGATTCCATGGTTTGGAATTGGAAGAAAAGAAAGAGAAGAATTCGTTGGACAAGTCGAATTCCATGCATACAAGATTCTCGGCTATCTCTGGCAGTTTTACCGTTCGAGCTATAACTCTCTCATCCAAAGTCCATTTAGGTTGATTCAAAATGATTCAGAAAGATATCGGAAAGATCTACAACTTTTATGTTTCGAACCAAAGAGAGATTCGACGTGTAACAGTGAATAAATCGAGTTTTAAGTGCTTGGACGTGCACAACCAAAAATGTCTACACGAGTTTAGAAGGGTGATCGAGAAGTCGACTTGATGTTCAAGTTATTAAATTTAATTATGCATGTATTTTTATTTGTGGATTTATTATGTTTTTAATGTTTTAGAGTTCTTATGGTTAGGATTTTCTTATTTATTAGTTTCCTTATTATAGTTTAGGTAAGAGTTATTTTCCTTATGAAAAACGAGTATTTTTACATCTTATAAATAGGCTGCCAATTTGGTTTATTTTGGGGGACGAATTTTGATGATTAAATTGAGTTTATTCTCTTTGGTTCTTTAAGGACTTTTTGAACAGATTGGTGGATTCCGTTCGTTCACCCCGACTTATCAACCGATCTTTCGCAATCGATTGTGGCGTCTTCACATACCAAGGTTCTTGCCTCCTTATAGGCAACGGGTCGCGGTTCCACCCCATTGAATCCTTCTTTGGACGGTCCAGGATTTGAAATCTAAATTATTGATATCGGGTCTCGTCACATGGTTGGCGTGGTTTGTATTAGTAACCATGTAATTTAAAACACGTTTCCAGATTGTGTTTTTTACATCCACGGCATGTGCACTTATTTCCATCAGAATGACCCTTGGATTTTAAGAAAGACCCTAGCTTCGACAAAGTTTGTGATGGACCAGATTTAACTCCTTCGATGGCCATAATAGCACCGCTAGAAACATTTTCCGCTCCCAAAACTATCACAGATTGACGTAGATCCTTTCTCCGAATATGGGCGTATTCCTGGTCAATGGAGGGGAAAGGTTTCATCCTTAACACATCAGTTCGAACATTGTCCAACCGATCATCTAACCCGTCGAGAAGTGGGTAGTCCTTTATGATAGAATTGTAGATTTGTATGTCATTTTCCCATGCCATTGGATTTGGGCGACGAAAGTCGATCTCTAGCCATAAACCCTGTAAATTATTATAATATTTTTCTATAGAGTCGGCTGCTTGTTTCATCTGGGATACACAGTGCCTAAGCTCGTATACTTATGAGTTGTCAGATCCATCAAAGTATGTGGTTGCAATAGAATCATATACCTCTTTAGCCGTCGTGTAGCGAATAAAATTTATGATCGATGATTGATCCATTGAATTGATTAGCCAACTTTTCACCATGGCATTCTCCGTGCGCCACTTTCTAAATGAGGGGTCAGATTCTAGTGGTTGAGGGTAGTCTCGACAACCTAAGACCATAATCCATAATTGGATCCATCCAATTTGATGATGATTGGAACCATCCCTGAATCAATAATAGGTGAAGAAGAGGTCGGAACCCTTGTCAAGACATCAGTCATTTTTTAAGTTAGGGTATTAAGGATGTCTTCATGGATGTTGAGAAAAAAACTTGGACCTTTTTCTAATTAAGAGTAAGGAACCCAGGATCATGCTCTTATGCCATGTTAGAAATAATTATTTTCTGTATATATCAAACTGATGCCAATTACATAATATATAGATACAAGAAGATAATTATTGTAGGAAGTTAATCTTTATTTATACAATGATTGTGGGAGAGAGAATATTTCACCCCTAAATGATTCATACATCTACGATTATATTTCGACAGTTGGCTAATTACGTGATTCACACCATCCATTGTGTCACCTTCTACAACAATTGTCTGTAATTACCCTCAACGAATTCGTCACCAACCAAAGTGTCTCAACGATTATATTTGTAATCATATTTCACAATCCACTGATTTTCCACTAGAAAAGTACATATATTTCTGTAATTTAAGTCATTCTTATCGAAGTTTTCTGTAACACCCCGTAATTAATGCGATAGTTTATTTTACTTAATAATAAGATTAGAGGGTTGTTGTGATATTATGGGATAAAGTTGGGGTATAGATATAATAATAATTTTATAAACTTGGCAATCAAGTTTATGAAATAGGCGGATAAGTGAGAAAGTCTTTGTCATCTTCATCCGATTAATAGCATCTTCCAACTTCACTTCTGCCTATTAATTACCCCTTCTCGTCAATAGAATCATCATCCACAAATCACATTGAACTCCAAGAAATTGAGTGATTAATCAGAGGAATAGTTTGAGAGAGAAATCAAGAATATTAGAGATGAGATATGGTTCAACCGACGACGGAGAGAACGATGGTGAATTGACAATCATTCCGGCAGAGTTTCAACGATCGGGATATATCATTGGAAAGCCCTCGACGTAAGCTTCGATTTGGTGGTGGTTTCCGGCTGTTGCCTCAGGTGGTGGTCGCCGGAGTTCAACGAGAAATCCAGCCTTCCGCTGAAGTTTCAAGAGTCGATTTGAGGTACTTAGCCTTTGAATTGCGGATTTGTTTCTTCTCAAAAGTTGTAGAGCAGCTCGAAAACTATAGGAATACCATGTGTTCCTCAAATTTCGACTATCATATATAACCGAATTAAACCCGACAGTTATGTCGGCAAAATTCAGAGAAATGAAGAACTGCTGCCGCACCTGTTTTCGGAGCAGAATTTGGAGTGTTTGGAGTGCGAATTTGGGAATCATTCCTTGACGAAACTCGTAGAGGACTTCGAAAAATATTGGTAAGTGTAAAATTGTATAGAGTTAGAATATGTTTTGAAGCTGATTAGAGGTCCGAATTAAGTGACGGTAAATCTGTAAAAAACAGGGCAGTTTTGAATATTCTTCTTACGAGGCCGTTTTTGCTATGTTGAGCTAATAATTTGGGTTGTGTGTCTTCTGAGAACTTGTAGTTTACATTGTGAGGTTCAATTTGGTATATTGTTTGGACAATTTGGATAAATTTACAAATAGTTATGAATTTTACTATAAACTGTACCAGAAAAGAGAATTCATCCGAAATTCTGGCAGTTTTCTGTAATCATCTTCTGGGGCTGTTTTGAATATGTTGGGATCATAATTTGTGATCAGAGTCTTCAGTGAACATGTATATGCAGTTGTTAGATTTCATTTGGCATACTGCTTTCCCGATTCCGATAATCGTACCAATTGTTATGATTTTTCGAATAAACAGTGCCAGCGAATGCAATTGTTTAAAAACCTGGCAGTTTCATGTACTCATCTTCCGAGGCTGTTATTACTGTGTTAGGTCGATAATTTGGGCTCAAGGTCTTCAGTAAACCTGTAGACACTGATGTTAGATTTAATTCGATATATCGTTTAGGTTATTCGGATAAGTAAGGTGATCGTAATGATTGTTCGAATAAGCTGTGGCAGCAAGACATTCGTAACAAATGCTTCAAGAAATTGACTATGTGATATAGTGGAATAATACGATTATATTAGCATTTGGAATCTTGTTAAGTGATGAATATGTTTATAGGTGTCGAGCGTACTAAAGCTCTCATTCAAGACTTGAGCATGACTCGAGAGTAAGGTGTTCTTATAGCACTTGCATTGGACTTCAGGTGAGGATCCCTATCCCTTGTCTATTCTTTCTGGAAAAACAAAATATATGCCGAGCACTCGTCTCGTTCGGTTTATTATTGTTACTCGTTGTTTAAATTTATTATATATTTATTGTCACCTAATTTGATTTCCGAGAATTATTTCGATTCGAAATCCTCTTCATGGAACTTAATAAGTTTTCATCTTGATTTGAGAATTATTCCAATAATCTCTCTTCTCGATTCTTTTAATACTCAATTGAGTTCGTTTATTGACCTTGAATAATTCAACGAGTTTCAGTCCGATTCTCTATCAATTGTGAATCATTTCACATATTGACTTATATAATAGTTGGAACCACTTCTTCTATTATGATTCAATAAATCATTTGATTTGTTTCTACAGTGGTTCAATGAACGTAAATCGTTCTTTTCCTGACTCTTGGACCATTTAGGATTATTGTATTTATCCACTAAATCATTCGTTTCGTACCTACTGTGAATTGATGGATCGTTCATATCTTGACTTCTCATTGATCTTCTGGAACCATTTGTCTTTCAAGCTATACAACTACAGATTCGATTTTAACCTTGTTGATTGAGATCCATCTTCATCAATTGTTATACGATCTTGAATTGTGGTCACTCTCTTATTGAAACCATTGATCGTACCCTTCTTGACTAGTGATTTTGTGACCACAAGATATTATCACTTGTTATTGGAATCCCACAATCGTTGAAATGTGATATTGGTTCTTTCCAAAGTGGAATTCATTATTGGGATTCAAAATGTAAATTGAGATAGTCGGAAGCATATCCGTATCTCTATATTATTGATTCCTTTGGGGACGCCCTAAGGATAATTGACCAGTTGGGCCCGGGGCTGTTCGAAAAAGACTGCTGGGCGGTATTGGGCCGACGGTGGATGGTCTCTTCGACAGTACCCATATTGGATCTTGACCATTGGCATAGTTGGAGGTTAACTGTGCTGATGGATGGATCGGCATGCGCCCGGACATGCCTATTGATCGATTAGCAGGGTAGCTCCCTGATCGGTGTTATAAGGTAGTTACGGCTAAGGGAGTCACAAGGCAGGTACAGGTACATGAACAAATTGTTACCATGGGAATCTCCCTAGTCTCATATTTGATATCCGAAATTGTTATCGTGAGAATCTCCACGCCGGGAATTACCCGTTGAATATTGTTCTTTACCTGTACATATTGATTGTATTGTTTATTCTGATCATACTGACATGCCTTATATTTTGGCCTATTATCCTTTTCGAACGATCATTCTCTAGATGGTCCAATTCCAATTCCAATTCCAATTTCAACTCCAATTCCATCCCCAATTCATTGAACACTTATATTGTGATTATTATTTGATTCGACTGTTTTTCCCTCCTACTCCTCACTAAGTCCACTTGGACTTATTCCTCCTTTATTTTTCTTCTTATTCTCAGTAACAGGTGCATTAGTGGACGATATTGTTGATGGCTCTTAGGAGTAGAAGTTATTCAGAGATTTTAGAGAGTTTAATCTAGTGTTGTGTTTAAGAATGATTGTAATTCGAGAACTATGAATACGAGATTAGTTTTGGCATTTGGTTGTCACGTGTATTTGATATTATTGTTCTTAAATTAAGTAAGAGACATTGTATTTATCGGAAGTCATTGTATTTATTTATTGTAAAGGAAAAAAAAAAGTATAGTGTATTTCGGTAGTGGGCGTCAAGTGTAATTAAGAATCAAGAGCCGCGGTCATATTCTCAACCCATAAAATCAATTGAATGGTGTGATGCAATGGCCAAGGAAATTCGAGCTCTAGAATCAAATAACACTTGGTCCTTGTGTCAAAGTCCACCTGGAAAATCACCCATTGGTTGTAATTGGGACTTCAAAATTAAATATCAGTCAGATGGTTCAATTGATCGATATAAAGCTCGTCTAGTTGCCAAAGTTTACACTTAAATTGAAGGAATTGATTATAATGATACTTTCACACCTGTGACAAAACTAGTTAATGTACGCTTCCTTCTCTCAATTACTGCCATTAAAAGTTGGTCAATCCACATACTTGATGTCAACAATCCATTTCTTCAAGGAGATCTTAGTTATGAGATCTATATGAAACTTCATCCTGGCTTATCCCACAAATGGGAGACTCATGTATGTAAATTAAATAAATTAACAAACAAGTTTCTCGTCAATGGCTCTTCAAATTCTCAACCATTCTTATTATTCGAGGCTTTCGCCAATCCATTTCAGATCACTACAGTCTTTTAACATATATTCATAATGAGACATCCATTTTTGTACTCGTCTACGTTGATGATATTATCATCAAAGGAAAAAATGACGACACTATCTCTGATAACAAAAATAATCTTACAAATTATTTTATCATAAAAGATCTTGGTGATATTCGATACTTTTTGGGTATTGAATTATCTCGCTCTAAAAAAGGGATTTTTTTATGTCAAGGCAAGTGTACTCTAGACATCTTATCTGATTCCAGGATGACTGGTTCTCGGTCGTCTGACTTTCCAATGGAACCACATCATCGTTTACGTCGACGTGATGGGAATCCTCTTCCCGATCCATCAATCTACCGACGTCTCATAGAACGTCTGCTATATCTTACTGTAGCACAACTTGACATTCAATATGCGGTAAATACAATTAGTCAATTTATGCAAAATCCACATTCTACTCATCTTGATGTTGTCAATCGAATCATCCGTTATCTTAAAGGTACTGTTGGTAACGGTTTATTCATTTCTGCATCTAGTTCTCTCAATCTAGTAGGATATGCCGACTCTGATTGGGCCGGTTGTGCTACCACACGTCGATCTACTACTAGTTATTTCACCATGTAAGGTTCTAGTCCTATTTCTTGGAAAACTAAGAAATAACCAACCGTTTCTCGTTCTTCTGCCAAAGCCGAATATTGTTCTCTTGATGCACTTACGTCTGACTTAGAGTGGTTAAGATATGTTCTAACGGATCTTGGTTTCAACCACTCTCAACCAATTCCAGTTCATTGGGATAGCCAAGCTGCTATACACATTACATAAAATCTTGTCTTTCACGAACGCACCAAACACATTGAGATTGATTGTCACTTTGTTCGAGAAAAAATTCAGGCATGTCTCATTGCTCCTTCATACCTACTTTCTAGTGATCGGCTAGTAGATATTTTTACGAAACCATTTGGTGGTGAAGCTTATCAATGATTAGTTTGCAAGTTGGGTGTTTTTGACATATCAATACTACTTCCAACTTGACGGGAGGTGTTAGTGAAATATTATTCAATTTATATTTTTGATTTAGTTAAGCCTTAATTAGGTGATTTGATTAGATTCAATCAAATCTTAATTATTGATTTGATTAGGGATTTGATTAGATGTGATTGTTTTATTCATTTTATCGTTTTTCTTTTGTGTGTATATAAATGTACAAACACTCATTGTTGATACAAGACAAAAGTCATCTTCTTTATTTACGTGCTTCATCAATTTTACAAATATCAATCGTATTGAACTAAATTTATAATGAGCTCAACCTAAAATGTGTTGAGATTTCGAACTTGGGTCAAATGATATGGAACTCCTCTATTAATTAGATGTCAAACTATTCCGATACTTTTGGTAAGTCTGGTGCATGAGGGGGCGCACGTTGATTGCGACAAGGGAAGGGTAGAGGTGATGACACCACCCGTTGAAATGAGGATAACTTACACGGGCACAACAAGTTTACTATTGATCTTAAAAGAATATAGTATATAGTTTAGTGACTTTATGGGACATTTTTTTATTGGTGACATTTGAAGTTCAGGCAAGAAACCGTGTTACGTTTGGGGGTTTTTTGTTAGTCGTGGAATTGACATTGAAGAAGAAAATTGGCCATCCCTATACAAACTGGTCGGGAACGGAAGTCATCCTCCTTTAAACATTCATTTTTCAGTTTTTTTTACCACTCTTTGTGTTTTGACTGATTATTAAATTTCAATATTTAATATTTGATATTTCGGTGAAATGAATAAAAGTATAGAACTAAAAAAACTCTACTCTTCGTTTTTCCCTTCTCATCGACTCTCGTCTCTCTCTCTCTCTCTATCAACCATAGTCGTCGATGTATCTCTCATCTCTCTCTATCAGTCTCAGACCATCGCCGCCGACACACCGTTGCTTCCTCCAAAGATTCACCTTTAGCCCTCTCTAGTTCTTTCTAAACTCCAAGGTACGGGTTTTTTTTGTTTCTCAAATTAAAATAAAAAAATTCAGCATTTGGTGTTGTGAAAGTGTGAATGGCTGAAAGTGATTCATTTTTAGTATTTTGTATTGTTTACGGAATTTTAATTTGTAATATGTGATATTGTTGAAACTTGATTTGGTACATGAAATATTAGAATGTCTGTTCCGAATTTTGATCAAGGTTTCTTTTTGTTTTTAATGCGGCTGATATCGGTTGATAATTTTCAACCGACCAGTTTCGGCAATCGACAAAGTCCGTTGCCAACCCTTATCCGACTCACAATAGTCAGGCCAGTAATAGTTTTACATATTTGTAAGAGTCGGTTGGTCGGGTCGGGTCGATAATCAACCGACCCGGCCCATGAACAACCCTACCGATAATGACCTACATATCGAATATATGATGCCAAATCTCTATTTGTTAACCCAAATGCTAGAATACCCTAACCCTTAATCTCCAGTGTAGTTAGAGTCTACCCACACACCCGACGTCTTCGTTCAGAACCTAATATTAAAAGAGCATTCAGGTCAAGTCTTTAAGAGCTAATACGGATGTGTTTCTCTCCAAATCAACAAATTAACTATATTTTCCTAATTTCCAACAAGAAATCCTCTCTCGAGTTTATTTCCCTTTACAGTAAATTCAAATATTGGTCAAATTATCGAAAACATTAAGAACAAGAAAACATAAACGAAACTGAAGTGAGACATTTAGATAATAAATCTAGAAACCAAAATCAATATATACAAGATCTCATTTCCCTATAAGGATATCCTTAGTTCGTTAGCATTAATAAAATTTACACGAAGAATCTTAAACTGAGGATAGAGACGTCGGCTGCAACATTTTGGCCCTCAAAATTTTGTACATCGTGAAGCAACTATTTCTAAATTATTCACAGGCCACAAGCTCGTAGGCTAACCTGAGAGTGGGGGTTTAATGATGTGTATAATTGAAGTTTGGTCTAGGAAACCCATAATTGGCCCATCTAAAAGGAAAAAAAAAAACTCCAATTAACACTTTAAATTACTCCTAAAATTTCATGACATTAAAACTATCTTGTCCCACACATTGGTTTCCAACTGGAAAATTACATCAAACTCCACCTAAGATATGTGTTATCATTCACATAACAACCTACGCACTATTTTGGCAACTAATTAAGTTATTTTCTTATATTGTAATAGTTTTATGACTTGAGCATTGGAGGACAATCGTGAGGTCAACCTCGACGTGTCACCTAATCTTATTCAACTGTTTTGTAAGTTAATTTTTGCGAGTTCAAAGACTCTTGCATTGTCTAATCGACATTAAACAACAACGAGTAGATCCATCATTTTCACTATCAAAATCACATCTTTAACTATATTAAAGTTAATCATATCTCTAATACGTACATGGCACGGGAACGGATACATCGATACGGGGAAATAGGGAAACGGATACGGGGAAACAACATGTTCCAAAAATAGGGATAGGAGAATTTGGGGGAAACATGTAAATATTAAAAGTATATGGGAATATTTATAAATATTCTTAATGAACATATATACTAAGTTTTTATTTATATATAAATTTTTTTTATATATTTGGGCGAATTACGACCACCTCTGAGGTAAGGTATAATTATGAAAAAACCCATCTTGTTTGCATACTTACAATCATCCCCTCAACTATGTATTGTCTTACACGTCCACCCTTACAGTGTAAAATTTACCTAGGGATGTTCATCCAGTTGGTAAACCGAACGCTAAACATATATGAAATTTTGGCGTACCGCAATTTCTGTACAATTTTACCGTATGAACGTTCATAAATATATCAATTGGAGGGCTTTTTTCTTAAAATAATACGTAGTTGACATGGTTGCTTGTAATTATGCAAACACAATGGGTATTTTTGTAATTTGACCGTACCTTAGAGGTGTGGTCGTAATTTGCCCTATATATTTTTATAGAAACATATTCAAATAAAGCTCATAGCTTTTAAACACTTAAAAGTCTGCTTAAGCTTTGCTCATCTGAAAGCTCAAACTCATATCAAACTCTCAAAATATTTATTGAGCTCAAGACTTTATAACTCGAGCTCGAATATTTATTTATTGAGCCGAACACTATAACCAAATGCAATGTCACTCAAAATCATGGATGCAGAGTCTCTCTTGAATTTACAATTGTTGCTCGAGAAAAAAAAAATACTTATAAGTAAAGTATATACGGATTCAATACAATAAGGTGCCCCCCTCCGACCATGTAATATAGCAGCTTCACGGTAGAGTCGGAGAAAGGGTTGTTTTGGCAACTTTGAGTTCACCACAATCACTAATATACAGAGTTTTAAGAGGTCTGTTCCATATGGCACGAGCTGATTTGGCACGTTCATCTCCAATAAACTCTGCAAAATCATTGTATTGTCTGATTCTTTCACCCGGTTTATAAGTCGGAATCGAAGCTATAGATGTCACAACATCCAACCCTGAAATCCAGATTAAAAAAATAAATAAAAAAGAACCAGATGACTATCGTATATCGAGAGCACATAAACACGAAAAATAGAACTCAACAAAATTCAGAATGAGAATTTCCGTAGCTAACCTTAAACGGAGTATATGACCAGATTGTTTAATTATCACCCAATATATGTTCATTAGCAAATTCGAGTTCAAAATTTTGGTACGGAATCAAAATTATGTACTTGCGATCAATCAACTTGATCTCTCTAATGAACTGATCTAGTTTTAGAACGACTGCAACTGAATTTGATGTTCAAGACTACTCTACAAGTCGATGAAATAATCTCGAGAAACACATTTCACATTTGCATAATTACAAGTTGTAGACCTTTTTCTTTTCGGTTTTAATGAAGATACAACTCATTTCGATCACGGATACGAAAAACGGAAAGCCCTAACTCAATATAGTACACATGATCTCAAAGTCTTTAAATTCAGTGCGTATTACCAACAGTTTACGGGATTCAAACAATCTACACTTGAGTTTTATATACAACAAAACGCAAAAATCTAGACACACTATTTGGGATAGAACCGAACCATTAAGACAGATATTGGTAACGAATCATCGCAAGTTCGAACTGAATATTTACGAGAGTGATCTTTAAACTGTTTTGCATTAAAAATCTATCAGCAAACAATCAGTCACAAATTACACCTTAATTAATTCAATCCCATCTTATTAACTAACTAAATAATTAATTAATCCAATCCAATTCGATCTAATCCGATATAGTAAGCAAACGAGACCTACTCAGATCTATATAAAATCATTTCAATTTTCAGATCAAAATAGCACTACACAGGGAAAGTAATAATTTCCAATCATTTAGCGAGAGAGAGAGAGAGAGAGAGAGAGAGAGAGAGAGAGAGAGAGAGAGAGAGAGAGAGAGCTCACCTTGAAGAACGGATCCGAAAACAATATTCTTGCTATCGAGATCGGGGCACGGGCCGGGCCCAGTAGTGATCAGGAACTCTACATTGTGATAATTAGGGTTTAGCTTCAAATCATCATCGTCGTCGTTTTCGGACAAGCAAAGAGAAAGTAGACCGGGCCTCGAGTGCTCCAATAAGAAGGCCTTGGATTCGATGGTCTCGGTGTTTCTAACCATCTTCGGCGGCGGCTTAACCTCGCCTTTGTCTCGGCGGCCCTGCCGGCCCGCAACGAAGAACTGGCCGGGGAATATTTTGTGGACCAAAGTGCCCTTGTAGGTTGAGCCGGAGGTACCGCTGCACATGGATTTGAAGTTGGAGACGGTGATCGGGAGGAGGTTGCCGTAGAGGCCGAGGACGACGCGGCCGAGGGGCTCGGATTCGGAGCAGAGGGAGAGGTCGGACTCGCCGAGGGTGCGGCTCTGGAAGTAAGATGGGCAGAGGCTGAAGTCAAGGAATACCCTGTCGGTGATTGTGGTGTCCGGCGAGGGAGGGGCGGCGGCGGTGGAGGTGAGGGGGTTGATGAGGGGGAGGGTGGTGGAGAGGAAGAGGAGGGAGCGGCGGTTAAGTGGGAGGCGGTGGTGGTGGAGTGGTGGGACGGGATTTGGGGGGAGGTAGCAGGTGGAGGAGCAGCCCATTGTCAGTGGTGGTGCATGGCGGAGACGGTGGGGGAAGGAAGGGGGTAGATGGAGGAGAGAGTGGTTTTTAGGTGGGATTTTTCGCTGCCACACAAGTTAGATTGACTTGTGGGGTAGGCCGTTGCTGTATATTTAAATGTTTTATTTGGATAATAATTTAAAATGGAATGCTAATTGCAACGGTATTCTACTCTTCGCAAGGGGATTTCAATCATTTTAAGAAATTTAACTTCAAAATTCTCTCAAAAACCTCAGACTCTCTAAAATTATTCGAAAATCGAAAATCATTCAACCTCTCGGCATTTAATTCAAAATTTGCTGGTAGGTATAAGTTCCAGTAGTTCCAGCCATAGATCTGTAATAACATAAAGAGGAAAAGAGATAGAATGCAAAATAGCTCAAGCTTAAGGCTGCATATACAGATAAACGACTCAGTTTTTCCGGTGTTCAATCCAGAAAATTCAAGCAACTGCCACTCAGCCAAAGCCTTAGATATGTTCAGAACTCACATTGAGTTAACTCACCAACACATACACAGTCTACTCAGTCACAACTCACCCTCTCCACTCAGCAAAAGCCCTATTTTTCCTTACCCAGAGATCTCGATCGCTCACAGAAGAGGATTGGAGGTGAACATACTCGGTTTGAATTAAAAGGTAAAGTTTGCCTTATCTCTCTCATCAGAGTATATATACACTCAGTTTTAACGGTCCACAACATTAAATGTGATGCGGCGGCTAGGACAACCATTGTTCGGCAAACCTGCGACGGTGTCGCCGCAAAACGACAGTGGATGACAAAGTACAATAGAGAGAGAGGGGGAGAAGAAGAGAGAAATGGCACAGCTGAGAATGAGCCCCTAGGATTTGAGAGTGAGGTTAAGAAAGAGTAAATGAACATCTAGAATTCTATATATAGTAACAAGAGGAGATAAATAATAGCCAAATTATTGGATTCTAGATGATAACTAAATGGCTCCAATCTTTTGTTCTTCTTTTGCCGATAACGTTTTATTTGGGTGACAAATTATATGTTTTCTCTTATAATATGTTTCTCTTATAATATGTTTCTCTTCCCAGTTACATGATTAATCTATAAAGATATGTGTTGTTAGAATATTTTTCCATGTGACTTTTATGCCTTTACTGTAACATTTGTTTTTTTCCTTTTTGGTTGCTAAAATGAATTTCGATGTATTTATCAAATTTAATCCCCACAAGGGATCGTTTGCTTTGAGTGATAATGGGTGATTCACTAATTTATCCAACTCAATCAGACGTTTGGTTGGAGTGATTACAGCCCATGATTGTTGGCAGACCCAGTTTTGACTTATTTGAGTGATAACTTGTCCACCCAACATTGGGTGAATTACACAATCCCAGACCAATGAAAACAGGTGGTATAGTCTAGTTTACACAAATACTCTCATCAATAAATTCAATTCATCAAAATAACTGTCTTTTTCCACCTACTACGCACACAATGTTATCAATAATAGTCGATCCCCAATTCTAACCCATTTTCTTTCTTTTTTTTTTTTTTCGCTTCACATGTGTTCTTCAACATAGAAGAACAATCGATTTCTGCATAAAACGCTGAGGTAAATCATATACCTTTTTGTGCCTGGATTCATTACACCTTCATTCCACCCTCTGCCCTATTTTGAATTCCTTTTAGAATCAAACACATGAAGGTGTTCTGCCGTTGGTGCTCCTACTAACTCATACGCAGGACCGGTGAGGTAAATATTTCATTTTAATTAACTTTTTTTCTACATTTTTTTACTTTTTATGATATTGTGGTTCTAATGTGTTGGGTATGGTATTTTAAATACATATTATATGTATAAAACTTGTTATTGATTTTGTTATTGCAGTTTTGTACAATTTTTGTTTGAAATCGATATTAGAGAGGAGCATGAAGAGATCTTGTTGGTTTTGGATGAAATAATTAACATTTTAAAGTTATTCCTTATGGCATGTTATGGGGTTTATCGTAAGTTAAAAGAACGTCGCGCAATTCGTAATTGTATAGTGCGTTCTTATATGTCTTATAGTTTAAATACTCCAGTGCCCGATCACTGCGTTCTTATATAGTTTAAATACTATAGTGTGTTCGTATGGGTCATTTATATAAATGGTGTAATAGTAGAACTCATTAACAAAAATGGTGTGATTTTTTTGGAATTTATAAAAGGGGCGTAAAACTCCACTCCTAGAGGCGATTTCTGGCATGCATAGGGAATTGTGCCAAAAGAAGTCAGGTATTTTGTTTTTTTGTTTGGTAGTGATTAACGGGTGAGATTGAGAGGAAAAAAATGAACGACCGAGATGGCTGCGTAGTAAAAATCACGGATTATTATCGCACTTTGCAGAGGCGATTTCTGCAAAAGCAGAAAGCACCTCTGCAAGAGGCGATTTCTGCCAAAGCCTGCTGCAAACCTGCTGCAAAGGCTGCTGCAAAGCAGCCTCACTTTATTTCGGTCAGCAATAATCGAGAGGAGGGGGTTGTGGGGTGGGGCTTGCATTTAAATTAGCAGGTGAATGGAGGGGGTTTGCTTTTACTCGCTTCTCTTCTTCTTCATTCTTCACAAGTTTTCAACACAGAATTTTCAACCCAGGTATTCCGTGAAATCATTTTTTTTTCTTTAACAATTTTTTAACTTTTTTTATTTTAAATAACTTTGTTTAATGTTTTTAAAACACGGGGTTGTTATTATAATGTTATATTAATTTAATCTGTTTATTTATATATTTTCAGTTTTGTAACGGAAAATTATTAAATACAGGTATGTTTAGTTAGTTTTATAACTTTTCGTTTTTTAATTTGTTTTAAAAATATTGTACTAATTTTAATTTCTTTTGCAGAAGGTGAAAGTAAAAATACGAAGGTATGTTATAAAATGTTTAGTATATGTAATGTTTTCATTTTAATTTGTAAAAAAATGAATGTACTTTTTTTCGTGTTTTATTTGTTGAGTTATTTCATAGTGTGTGGGTTGAAGAAACGGACCAATTTAATGATGTTGTTTGCTTAATTTTAAGTTATACTTACAATTAAATTAAATATATATAGAAATTTAATTCGTGTTTAATATATAAAATATATATAGATAATTTTAGGTAATTTTACATTCTAGTTCCATTTTTATAAAATTAGTTAGTTTTCAACTTGTTTTTTGGTTGGAGCATAATTCCTAAAATAACATATAATTGAGTATTGTGTGTTTTCAAATTTTTTTGTGTGAATTTTTTCAACTTGTACTATTTTTTTTTTGTTAGATTGCAATTGAACGGGAGGATCGAGTTGTATCCGAAGAACAAAGGGATTGTTTAACATCTAATCATATACTAATTTCAGGTATTTTAAAGTGCTTTTTAAAAATTTATGACATGTTATTCATTGCGTAAAATGTGGTATAGTATAATTATTAGCATAATATAATTATGTTGTTTGGGTTAAAGAATTTTAATATTAATTATTTGATAATAATTTTTTTAATTAATTATATTTGTTTTCACCATAAAAAATAGGTGAATTTAATGGCACCTAATAAGAGCCGAGTCAAAGTAATCGTGTATATTGGGGCTAATATAATTCAAGATGATTGGTCGGTGGAATACGATTGCATGTCCTCAAAAAGCAATTTTTCGAATTAGTAGGGATACTTCTTTCCAACTACTATTATCGAACTTGTACGAACGATTCGAAATAGACAATACTAGGTTCACTCTGAAAGTTCGGGGAAAACTTTTTCGCTTGTATCGGGATAGGGTTAAATCAATGCTGTGTGAAATTAGTACGAATCAAGATTTGGAAATGTTTCTTGATCCGAAAAAAGGGAATGATTCAATGGACATTTTTGTTCAAACCATCCCATTATACAATAACTCACCGCCTCCACAATTAACTTTCGATCTGAATGAGCCATACAACATAGTCTCACAATTGAGTCCGGAAGTGGTTGCTGTCACACAAGAATTTTCTAGCATGCAATTTACGAATTTTGGTGCTGGAACATCTGCACCTCCGATAAATTTTGGTGCTGGAAATCGTGGGGAGACGAGCACAAAGAGAGAATTCCGGCACCCCAATACAAATGAGCCAACAGAAGATTTAACAGACATAGTGGGAGATTTCTTTGGGGCCGATCCTCCTGTTGACTCAGAACCATCCGATCAAGAAGATTACGACAACGTCGACGGGGACCAGGACCATGATGACGGTGAGAATGTTGCCAATGTTCCTCATAATATGCCATCAGTGGCACCAACCCAAAACCAACCTCACTTGTACGAGCCAATACCTTTCTACTCAATGGATTATGAAGAAATGATGGCAGACTCATTTGATATTCCAGACGGGCGATTGTCAAAGTTTTACGATGCCGATGAAGGTGTTCTTGAAAAAGGGATGATTTTCAAGAGTAAAGAACGACTCATTGCTGCAGTGAAAGACCACTCTATTCGGTTCGCTAAACGAGAGTACAAGGTGATCGAAAGTAAACCAACGTATTGGAAGGTGAAATGCAAACATAAAAGTGAAAGAACACCTTGCGGTTGGTGGTTGCGAGGGTCGGAGAAAGCCGGTAGACATTATTGGGTGATCACGAAGTATGGTAGAGATCACACTTGTGTTATGGGCAGAATGTCTACCAACCATTGTAATTTGGACATGAATTACATTTCTGCAATATTGGTTACAAAAGTTTGTGAAAAACCATCTTGCGAAGTTTCGGTAGCCAAACAACTTGTGTATACTGAATTGGAATTTGAAATCTCATACCAGAAGGCGTGGTACAGTTTAAGACGCTGCAGGGATAACATATTTGGTACTTGGGAGAGCTCCATCGCGAAGTTACCCAAGTACATGAAAGCATTGCAAATGAGTAATCCCGGAACGATTGTGGAGTGGCAGAGTAAGCCGATGAATCATCCAAGCCAGAAAGTGATCAAGTATGTCTTCTGGGCCTTCAAGCCATGCCTAGATGGATTCAACTTCTGTCGCAGAGTTATTAGTGTGGATGGAACTCATCTATACACAAAGTACAAACACAAGTTGTTGATTGCCACGTGCTTGGATGCAAATCAACAAGTGCTGCCACTTGGATTTGCTATAGTGGATGAAGAAACGACGAGTGCATGGACTTGGTTTTTCGCAATGCTAAACCAACATATATTTTCGAGAATTGCGGAGACTACTACAATATGTTTAATCTCTGACCGGGCACCTGAAATTCTTGCTGCTATTGAGACATTGCCTACCCGATTTGTCCATCGTTTTTGTCTCAGACATATTTGTTCGAATTTCAACTCCCACTTTAGAAGTATCAGGCTGAGGTGTTGGAAGGCTGGGTCGGTACATGTAACGACCAAATTTGATCGAGTCATGGACCAGTCAGATCTAAAAATATTGAGGCGTACAACTACTTGATGGCTATTGACAAAAAGAGATGGACTTTAGTTTACGACAGAGGATTGCGTTGCGGTCAAAAGACGACAAATATCTCAGAAGCAATTAACGGAGTTTTGAAAGGTGCTCGCAAGCTGCCCCCAACTGCTATAGTTGATTATTCTTTCCACAATGTTGTTAAGATGTTTCGGCTTCGTGTTGCGAAACATCTACGAATGCGCAGTTCAGCTCAACGATGGTCAGATTATGCTCATACGATGTCACAAAATGGGAAAAGGAATCAGTGGACCATGTTACATGGATGTTTAATCAACAACTCCAATCGGCTGAGGTAATATCAAGGGCCTCTACGGTCGGAGGTGGAAACAACACACATTCCGTGAGCATTAGAACAAGAGAATGCACATGTGGAAAGTGGCGTGAATTCGGGATCCCGTGCTCTCATGTCCAACACGTGTGTCGTGATTATCATTTGGATGCCTCGGCCTTTGTGCACAAGTACTATAGCCTTTCTCACTATTCCTCTACATACAATTGAGTGTTTCATCCTCTTTTAAGCGAAGCTTATTGGGAGGATGCTGATTTTCAACCATTCCACGATCCGACATTGCATCACGCAACACGAGTTGGCAGAAGACGTTCTACTCGTTATACAAATGAAATGGATATACCGCAAACACGTGCGAGACAACAAGCAAGACGAAATGAAAATGTTTAAGCAAGAAGATTGTGTAGTGATTATGCCTCTGTTTAATTATTTGCGAAATTTTGTGTGTTCATTAAGGCTATGTTTAACTATTTTTTAAACATTGTGTGCGCATATAGTGTATGTTTGCTTATTGTAATAGATTGTGTGTTTATTAAGCATAATATATTTATGTGTAATATATTTTTATAATATATGTTTATTGTATGTCTAATATATCTTTATAATATGTTTATTACATGTCTAATATATTTATGTCTCATATGATTTTATAATATATGTTTATTGTATGTCTACTATTTTTCATTTAATTATTTTGATAGATGGATGCACTGATGAAGGAGGTATATGGCCCTCGCAATACTTCATTGCTACGTCTACAAGGTCGACATAGATCAAGTGATTTGGGCGAGGCAAATATCGATGATGTTGTGCGTGCTAGACGCGCAGATCATGGCATTTGGACCTTATTCCCGGCGGGTGTGCATCCTCATCCTCGAGTGATGCAATTGATATATACAATGGGATTTTATGGCGTATATCGGTGTAGACGCATGAAGGTTGATTTTCATCTCATAACTGCTTTGATCGAGAGATGGCGAGAGGAGACGCACACCTTTCATTTTCGCATCGGTGAGGCGACAATTACACTGCAAGATATTGCTTTATTGTGGGGCCTACCTATAAATGGGATTCCAGTCATCGGTACTGATTATATGTATTGTACAACTGCTTGGATCGACTATTGTAAGGCCTTATTAGGTTTTCATCCATAACCTAATGACCTTAGGGGAGGGAAATTAAAGGTTTTGGCCCTTACAAACTATTTGGTTGACAATTCTGTCAACGATCAAAGTTCCGATGTACGTGTTGCTCAATTTACTCGAGCATTGGCATTCATGCTATTTGGTGGGATTATGATTCCGGGTAGCACCGGAAATGCTATACCTTTGATGTATTTGAAGAATTTTGAGGACATCGATGCAGTTCATTCATATAGTTGGGGTAGTGCCGCATTGGCGGTATTGTATCACGAGTTATGCAAGGCGACACTTCGAGGAGAGCGTAGGGATGTTGTTGGAGGTCCGATGCAGCTACTACAGTAGTGGGCATGGACGAGAATTCGCCATATAGCACCAATACCAAAACCGCTTAGAGATTACGATCCAATTACGGTGCTTCAACTAAACGCGGATGAAGTATTTCCAGTACCTCCATATGGTGCACGGTAATACTCTAACTATAACTAATTCCATATAATTTCAAATCTTTCAATTAACTCTACACTTAATATATGCATTGTTTTAATATACGTACTTTGCATAACACATTGTAGTTGGTTGCATCCTTTGAGTTATGTTCACACCGCTAGTCATTCAGTTTGCATATATAGAACAATGCTTGATCAAATGTTGTCAAATCAAGTTCGTGAATTTGCTAATAATGTTGATAATATTTTTTTTTCCATATTGTTGATAATGTTGTTGATAATGATGTTGATAATATTCGCAATGTCCTAATATTTTTTATAGTTCATTGGATGCCATATAACACCACTGATGTTGAGTACCAAGAATTGGCTTCGGATTCGACAATTGTTTCACCATTACTTTGGATGTCTAGTTGTCCACTTATTTGTTATTCACGAGTGGAGATGCATCGTCCGGAGAGAGTATTACGACAGTTCGGGATGGTCCAGCCAACTCCGTCACATCCTACGGATGTTGTTATTTCCAACAAATTACATGATTTGACTCGTCAAGGTCGATCGGGTCTGGATTGGAGCGAGTATTTGAGTACATATGTTGCTAAATGGCACAAAGATTTCAGACTATCGTCCCATTTCAACCAATCAATGGACAAGATACAGAGGATGGTTATGAAGCATGGTATGATGAGCACACTCGTCGTTTTATATCACCGATTGACGATTTGACGAGCATTGATTTTCAGACTGGAGATCGGACAATTATGAATTTGGTGGTACGTAATTTTATGTCAATAATGCAATTACATACAACTACTCGATTTCTATAACTTATTTTATAATTTTTTTCAGGCTACTCGACTAGCCTCAATGAACACCAATATGCCAGAAATGCAGCCTATGATCAATATTCTCAACAGGACCGGGATGCCTTCTACGGGTGCCTCGGATGGAGGAAGAATGAGAACTCACAACCGCACTCAAAGGTCTACAAGAGAAATGAATGATTTCACTTCCCGAGATGAGGATGTGACCGGTCCTTCCACGTACTGAGATTATGCCGGTCCTTCCTCATATCAAGATGAGGCCGGCCCATCCACACTTCGAAATGAGCCCGGTACTTATCCCGGTTCTACTGATGATGTTTATATTCCGACACCAGTAACTCCATACTAGCCTGCCATGAACATGTATTCAGGTAGTGAATTTTTGGATCTCAGTTTAGGATACCAAGGTGACCAGCCTACACATAGGCATTTCAATGTTTCTCCCGTTCCCTATCACCTCCAATCACCTCAAAGTCATTCTACCGAGAACTATGTTGCCGACGCTATTGAAGAGGATATTGCGCAAGAACCAGCGGGAAGAGTGCGTAGAAACAGGCGTCCGCCTAGATGTGGGACCGGTGGACATTTCGGACGTCATTGATGCTCTTGTTTTTAGTAGTTGACATTGTGTATTTGATATCTATGTATTCTTACGTTTATCTAATTTTTATTTAATTATGTATGACGTTAAATTTTAAATTATTAATTTAGAAAAAAAAAATTAATATATATATATATATATATATATATATATATATATATATATATATATATATATATATATATATATATATACATATATATATATATATACATATATATATATATATATTCGATACACCCCTGGTAGTATATACATGCATGCAGCCCTAATATAATATACATATATATATAATATACATATATATATATTGATTAAAAAAAAAAGAAAAAAAAAAACAAAATCACATCTCCTAGAGGCGATTTCTGCCTTGTCAGACTTTTGGCCAGAAATTGCCTCTAGGAGTGGAGTTTTACGCCACTTTTGTAAATTCCAAAAAAACCACACCATTTTTTTAATGAGGTCTACTATTACACCATTTATATAAATGACCCGTGTTCGTATAGTGTGTTCTTATATGTCTTATAGTTAAAAATAATAGATTGATTCACGATACTGATGTACGTTGTTTTAATAATTTGTGTATGTCTGGAAATGCATTTGCTCGACTGTGTTTTCTAATTTAGAATTTTGGTGGCTTATTTGATACACGGCATGTAAAAGTTAATGAACAATTGGCCATTTTCTTGCATATATTGGGACATCATATAAAAATAGGACTGTAGTTAGTAAGCACTTCAATAGTGTTCTAAATATTGTAATTAAGGTATACTTGTTGTTGATTGTAAAGCCTAAACCTATTGATGAGGGGTGTAAAGACGTTTGGTGGAAACCGTTTATGGTAATAAAAATATGTAGCATAGTTTTATATATGTTTAGTAATATGCAAACAAAGTGTTGTGAAACTTGATGGTTTCAATGTGTAGGGATGTTTAGGAGCATTAGACGGTACGTATGTAAAAGTTAGGGTTGCTCAACTAGAAAAGGCACGCTATAGAAATCGCAAGGGAAATATCTCGGTCAATGTGCTAGGTGTTTGTGATGCATCCATGTGTTATAGTTATATTTTAACTGGATGGGAGGGTTCCGCTGCTGATAGTAGAGTCCTCCGAGATGCCGTTTGTAGACCTATTGGTTTGAGAATTTCCGATGGTACTAAACCTTTCCAAACCTCTTTCAATATTTTTGAACATATATGTGATTTAAAATTATTTTTCATTATGTGGGATTTACAGGAAATTACTACCTTTGCGATAATGGATACACAAATAGACAGTGGTTTTTAGCCCCATATAGAAGTGTTAGGTATGACTTGGATGAATGAGATGGTAATAATGCTCCTCAAGATTATAAGGACTATTTCAATATGAAGCATGCCAATGCTCAAAATGTAATAAAAAGATCGTTTGGGTTATTGAAGTCACATTGGGGCATATTGCGTACTAGTTCTCATTATCCTATCAAAGTCCATAACCGTATTATTATGGCTTGTTGTTTGTTACAAACTTCACTCGTAATGAGATGCTCGTAGACCCATTGGAAGAAAGTCTTTGGCCAATCCATAATCCCATCAACCATCCCGTACTTAGGTTTATTGAAAGTGTGGAAACCTCACATCAATGGGTGTCGTGGAGCGATGATATTGCTAGATTTATGTACGATGAGTGGAGGATCAGAGTATAATTTTAGTGAATTTTTTATTCGCATCACTATGTATTCATTTATTATTGTACTTAATTTGTAGTTCACTATTATTTGTTGACAATGTGTTCAACTATTTATACCATGTTTATTATAATTTACTGAGTTTATTTTTTACTTCATTGATTTTCTTTAATATAATATACTATTTGGGCTTCCAGTATAGGTTAAGATGAATTATCGCGCTCAACATGCAGTTTTCTTCAAAGATGTCGTGGGATGCATGTTGGGAATCAAACACGTGTACGCAGCGGAAAACAAAAATTTTATGCGGTTTAAACAACTTTAAAGCACATAAACACATGCCCGATAATTGAAATCAATTAATTGCGTACCTTTGCGCTTCCAGCGAAATTAAAAACAACATACATGCTTAATTACTTAATCGAAATTAAATCAACTAGCATGCTCGCGTTTAAATCAAATAACATGCTCACAATAAATAAAACAATTTCATGTAATCACATAAAAGCATACAAGAACGAACATACATATTCAATTTAAACGTAACCGAATCTATCGACAATTGATTCGAAGGTTTACCTCTTGAAGCGTGAGGTAGCCGCACCAAGCCAAGCGGGATTGCTAGGGAAACCAATCTGTACAATCCGGAGGGGCAGCAGCGGTAATACGATCCATGGCGGCGCGTGTGACTCACGCGCGGTCTTCGGGCGGCGCGTGGGGATGCGTGCGGCTTCGGCTCGTGTGCTGCTCCTCGATTCTTCGATCTTCGATCTTCCTCCTCTCGGATTTTACCTCGTATACTTCGATCTACTAAACACGTGGAACTAGACATGTATCAGTTAGAAAAACGGAAGAAAAGAAAGAAGGAAAGGAATACCGAAAGGGATCGGCTAACGGATGGCCGATTCTGGCAATTTCCGGCGACGACGGCGCGGTGGCCGCGGGGAGATGGCCGAGCGAGAGAGAGAGAGAGGGAGCGGCTAGGGTTAGGGTTTTGTGCTGTGTTGTTTTGTGCAAGACCTATAAATCAAGTATTTATAGTGTCTTGCATAAAACCCTAACGGGCTTAAGTTGGACCGGGCCCAACAGCTTAAGTTCGTTAGTTCTTTTACTTGCTCGTCTCTCTCAATTCAATGATCGGAAAATTGTAACGATTACATTTTCGGTATCATTATAATTTCCTCGTCATTACGAGTGCCAACTCTCGATTTCCAACTTTCCAAAAGTGGAAACCCTAATTCAGTGCACTTTCTAAATTTGGAAACTTCCCGATTTAGAAAGTTCACTAATACATTTGCCTATTCTTTTCCTTTTCTTATTCTCATTAATAATTCCAAATTATGAATGTTGGACCCAATCATATTGACTTCCAATCATGCAAAGATAAACCTATTTTACCTTTGACCGTTTATTCAAAGATCTCATGTGCACGAGCAGTGTGACCCTCGATGGTTCAGGTGTAAGCTAGTCGTGGGCCCACAACCCTTTGTGGTCAAAACTCGTCCCTTAGAGTTACGATTAAGATGAAGTTTGTTTCACCTTAATCACCCAATGAATCAAGATTGGCGTCTAGCAACTACGCGTCATGATTCCCTAGATACAAATGAAGTGCCTGCAAGAACCTTCAGATATAGTTAACATACACTACGATCCATTCGATTCATATGTCCCGATTGAACTAGAGGCATTGGTTCATCGAGACCTCTTTATTTGTTCAATTACCGTGCGATCGTTCTAAGTTTTGTAATCGTTACGTGCATGGCTTAGATAATCGAATTCTCTAATCATCACTTAATCAGCTCTGGCCAGAGACTTAGAATGATTACAAACTATCAGAACACACGAGACATCCAAGACTATTCTAGCGATCGAATCCCCGACTACAATGCACAGACCTCCCACTAGATTTCGGACTGCACGAACACTGGCTCTTGGGATGGTTATAGGTGGAAATCAGGGACAGGTCAAAATACAGCTGGTCCTCTAGTGAAGTCACGGTGATGTCTAGGTCATAAGGACTAATGGTGTACAACTATACCATAGATATCTCTACTCGATTATTGGGAACCACTTAGAGATTTCTAGGGTGAGGGGGTTCAGTGAACTCGTCAACTTACGAGCACACACTTATGCATGCCGATATCACAATACCGTTTACTGATGAGATGCAGTACACATACACTAAGTGCTAGTCTCTTAATGGGAAAGGCCGATATCCTCATTGGTGGCGTAACCCTTCGACTAGGAACATGTTTAACAGTTATAATACTTAAGTAAATATCTCACGATCCTAACGATCAATTACAAGTACTTGTAATAACTGTAAGGACTATATCTATGCTTGTGACAAAGAGACAAAGATATAGAATGCCAAGTTGTTTTATCATTAATACGAATAAAGGTTCGTTTATTACCATAATAAATACGAAAGACCACAGCCACATGTTGGCTTGTTGGTGACCTACTCTAACAATGCAGAGTCAAAGTCCATGATATCGTCATTCTTCCAACCTAAAGTGTGTTTGTCGCTGAAGAAAAATGCTAACTTTTTTATATTCTGGTTCACCCCATTAGTTGTATGCACGGCCTAGTTTGAAACGCTAGGAGAAAAAAAAACGCAAGTTAACTTAACAATCAAAAATAAATTATAAATAAAAACAGTCGACTTACATAGAAGATGGAATCCCATGTGGACTCGTTTTGCATATACGAAATTAGTTTCTTTATCATACTGAAAACCCATAGAGGGAATGTTGGCTTTAAACATGTGGTACCTCATTTCTAACTTCAACTTTTTTTCATACTGCTCGTATGTAAAAGAAATCCCAAACTATTTTGATGATGGTTCCAAGTCCATGAAGAATCCTACTGCTTTTGTTTGGACCCCACCAAAATTTTCCTTTCTTAGCATCATCCACCAAAACTTCAATGAAACGCCGATCAACACGTCAAGTCCATTCTCCATCATAGAAGAAGGCATCTTGTTTGATTCTTGGGACCGGGGCCATTTTTTGAGGTTTGTATTTCAATTGAGGAATTTTAAATGTAACTGGTGTCCTTTAAAGAAGAAATGGGGGTCAATTTATAGCACATGTTGGAGAGGTGGTAGGTTATCTTTCACTTAATGTTTGCACAAGTGAAATGATTAGTATTCTTCTTGGAAAAACAAGAAATTTAATACACACAAACTCATACACATAAGTTCACTAAAACTTCTACTTGCCAACTACATTACATTAATAACCTATCAATGTATCAATAAAAACATTAATTACCTATGAATGCATAAAAAAAATTGCCCCTTAACATGACAAGTCAAAGTAAATTTATAAGCACAATGCAATATGGAGATCTTGCAATGAACAATACTACTCAAAATTAGATATCATACAAGTAATTCCATAATCTAAATTAAATAGTTAAAGGGTGCACAACAACATTCGAAAAAA